GATTTTTAAAGTTATTTTTCGATTATTTGCTTGGAATGTAAAATATGCAATTGAATAATAAATAAAAATTAAAATTTATAATAGTTGAACAAATCAATTAAATGAATCTTTGAGTCTTATTCATCATAATATCATTTTAAATCTTCTACAGTTATCATCTTTGATTTAAATATTTTATTTTTAATTTTATAAATTATCTTTTAATTTAATTTTTTATTATGATAGTTCTTTTTATTAATTTAATAAAGGTTTCCTGTGCTACAATAGTTTGTTTAGTCGAAGAGTATTAATTTTCCAAACTAAGGTAAAGAATATAAGGAATCAGGGGATTGATTACGGCATTCCGTCTGCCATTGAACAATGACATTGGAGAAGCATGCTCTCCTTCCATATTATACCAATGCCAAGTACTGACATTTTTAAACCCTTTGATCAAATAAATAAATAATGATGTGAAGAACAAAAGTTCAGAAATGTTGCAGGACCGACACAGATTGAATAAAAAAAAAAAAATTGGCTTTCAGTTGTGGAGATTGAGTCAGAATGTGAATGCAAGAGATCAGTTTACTTTTAAGAAAAACCAAAAGGGATTACAGATTTAGACACAAACATCAAACTTGGAAATTGGAAAAAAGCACAAGGGGATTTTATTTATGGAAGAAAATTTTCATACAGAACAAACAAGGAACAAATTACATTAAAGGAATTAAGACAAGCAAACATAGGACTAAATAAACAACGAAGCAGTAAATTTCAATTGAATCAATATGCTCTCCTTGCCATATTATTTCTCTGTGAAAGGCAACATCTCAATACACAGGACCATCATCTGCATCTAAGAAAAATATCTCGAGTAAAGCATCAGAAGAAGATGTTGGTCCTGCAGGTTTTGCTCCATCATCAACTCAGTCTCAGCCCAACGATGAGCAAGCGCCAATTCAATCCCTTCCGCAGAAGCTTGCATTCGATTTTTTTCTTCTCTCTGCGCCTTGACTTCTGCCTTCATCATCTTCAATTTTTCCTCTGCTTTCTGTTTTCATTCAACACTATTTTGGTAGCTCATTCGATTTATCAACCGGTGCCAACAAACACAAAAGCAGTAAATAGCATTCGTCATAATAATTAAATATAAATATAGCTACCTGAAGCCTTGATATTCTTCGTTTTTTCCCAACTCTGGAGTAGCTCCCCATATTTTCTGCTCCTTTCTTTTCTGCATCCAGTAACAACTAATTAATTAAGACATCTTCTGCCAAGTCTCATCACTGTACCTTTCTTCTTCTATGGTGCTTTACTAATGTATTTTAAAT